AATCTTGCTGCAATTAAGTCTGTCCTGTCGCCTCTAAACGGCCTTGTTGACAATGTTGCAGGCAGTCTTGCTGGTGTCAACGTCCCTGGAAATGTCTGGCTCTATCCGCAGTCTCCGCTTTAACGACGCCTCTGCTAAAACATGCACCTGTATAATTTATCTCATGGCCATGTTTTGTCTGCTTCCAATCGCGTTAAGTCAGCTTTCACGGAGGTATCTTGCTGTAGATCAGCGATTCTCAACATGTGTTTTCTGGAAGCAGATAGTTTTGGTGCAGGTTATTGTTGGCTGAAGACAAATAAAAACAGTTTTTCCTAAAGAAATAGGGAAAGATATATTCAACAACTTGGGAGGAATTATAACACCCCCCCCCCCTAACCCCCATTGCGTCTACACAGCATTAATTACCTACCAAGAGGCTGTCATTCTAGATGTCAAAACATATTCCGGTTTCGTTCTTCTCATATCATACAACGGGTAACACAATGCCCGACATAAGCATACTCTATCTTCTGGGCTAAAAATCCAGTCAACACCGTAAGACTTAAGAGTAAACAAAATTTTTTTTTTAATTTAAGGGCACTACAGGAAAATTTTTATTTTTCATTTTAAATGTCAGACCAATTGTTTTATAGTGGTGATCTGTAGGTATGTATGTTGCTACATTTGTAGACTTCAAGTTTTAAAAAACATGGTTGCCATGGCAACAGCCGCCATCTTGATGGAAAAAAAATCATGTACTTAGCTAAAATTTCAAATACAAACAGAGGTTTTGTGAAGCAGATGACTGATTCATGAACTTGAAACATGTGTTTAGAGTCAGGTCTAGTTTATTTATTTCAAAGATGTTTCTAAATATTTTTTTTTTAGAAAATTAATATTTAGGTATGTTGAAAACATACAAAAATGCAGCTTTTTAAGATAATAATCAATTTTATTTTTAAATTACTTTATAAACTGTAATTTTAAATAGACCTGACCCTATAATATTGTGTTAGGAGTATCCACACACAATTTTACGTCTCTAGTCTTTATATTACCTGAGATTTTAGGAGATCCCACACACAACAAACAGAAAAATAGAATTGTTAGAAAAGTGACTTTTAAACTTTTTTTTTTATCTTAAAAAAGTGCATGGGTTGGTGTCCTCTTTTACAATACTAAATTTTTTACAAATTACACAAATTTTGTGTTTAATCTGTTCTACGAATGTCGAACATTACAAAAATGAACACATTGAAAATGTGATATGTTTGTTATAAATTGGAAAAAATGCCGTGTAGTGACCCCAAAGGTATTATGTCAGCCCTGCTGTATTCTCCTGTCTTCAAGCCTTTGTTTTGTGTTTGTTAGAACTAATAAGTGCATGAAGTAAAGTTGAATTCAGAATCCATATCATAGCACTCGGGACACTCCCATAAGCGCTCCGTCCCCATCTTAAGCAGCAAGCGAAGAGTTCTAATTCCGATGTTACCAGTAACTGTCTGATTGTACATACGTCCCGCCTTTCCCTTAAGCGTTGGGCGTCGGTCAGATCCCCTGGTAACTTCCCCCAGCACCATTCTCTACAGACCGTAATGATCTATTTGTGCCTCCGCACTGTTCAACGCTCCTAAAAGGCCCTTACGACCACTAGCTTGTCATACATCAATTCACCACCAAATGGTGCAGAATCGGTCAGTCTACCAGCCTACTCGTGTGCCAACACACAAGCATGACCTGAAGAAAATACACAAGGACGCTAACTATCCGCGACTTCTGAAGCTATGCTTGCCATTCTGCACTGAGCATGCTTGGCACCACCGTTCTCTTTATGTCAAGTAAAATTAGGGACCCTATTCGCTTCCTCCCCCGTCTGCAGCGGCCGTGTCGCATCCTAGGCGAACAAGACGTTTAATGATCTGGATAGGCAATGTGTTAAACACCTTGCCGATCGCTTTTACTTCCTTCCCAAGACATTATTTGTAACCCATTTTAGTTTAAAAAGAACTAGCAGTCAAGGTCAATTTTTGAAGAAAACAAAATCTCCGCTGAATGCGGATGTTAACAGTCCTAACAGGACAATTTGTTTATCAGTTTATTTCATTGAACTGATCGATTCACGCATGATTTATTTGTGGACATGGGTGAATGATTAGACTCAGCTAGAACTAGGCAGACTTTTATCAGCGGTCTATAAAGTTAAAAAAAAAAAAAAAAGTAAAGACTTGTTCACGCCTTTAGGCGCATAGAGCATATGAGAAGAGCACCCATATTTTTACAGATCAATCGACACTAGGTGGGTAATGTGGTGAGCTTTACCATCAACAGACGATCACAGTGTTCAAGTCACTTGGTGGTAAAGTGACTTTTTCGGTTGCTTGTCAAGACAGGGGTCAGGGTTAAGCTGGGTATTCTCATCATCCGTCATTTAAACCACATCCCCGCAGCTTCCAAATACTTTTCACTAATCTACTCACTATCCGTGATTTAGTTCCGCATATCAATATAGGATTTATATAGCTTTTAAGAATTCTCTTTCTTGTCTCGATTGTCAAAGAAGGATTGCATAAAATATGCTTCATTTTGTACAATGCTGTCTTTGTTGAGCTATTCTACATTAAACTGTTCTAATAGTTCTTCCGTCTAATGTTATCAGGGTGCCGAAGTACTTAAACTGAAGTACTCAGCTTGCTTAAAGTTTGTCCCATGTACTTTGATGTTGCATTTTGGAGGGTCAGTTTTCCTTTGTTATTATTACCATTATCTCTGTTTTTCTGCTGTTCAAACTAAGACCCTTGTTTTAATTTTTCGTCACAATTATAGGCATCATTTCTTGCAGCTGTATTCAATCTGGATGGATAAAAAGAATAATAAAGATGTCTTGAAGGAAACTGACTTACGAAAATAACTGATTGCCCACACTAGAAAGAGACAATCTAAATTCCTTGGTCATATGGTAAGAAGGAGAAAACTGGTGTACATCATATAAGGTTGGAGAGTTGTCGTGGAAGAAAGAAAAGACAGTTCCACATCATAGTAGGGAAGATCATCTGTGTCAGAGTTGATTAAAAGTACACGAGACAGAAGGTTGTGGATAGGCATAACTACCAACGTCACACGGCATTGACTTTGAAAAGCAGTCAGAAGCAAAAATAAATTTGTTGCTGAACATTC